ACAGACTTGACCATTAAGGGAACAGGATAAAAACAGACTGTCGGTGTTGGAACAGCACTAGCTACGTTGCATAGCACGAGTCTGGCGGAGAATTCGGACTTGTACAACTGAGCTTAGACACAGAGTTCCCGATAAACTGCATTCGCCCACTGGAATAAGTAAGTCAAGAACCTCCGTGGATGTGGCGTGTCACCAAATAGGTTACCATGTACAAGATATTTGCTAAGACGGATGATGAGTAGAAAAATGTAAAGCTTCTTCCAACCGAGACCTGACATGAAGGTGTAAAAACCCTAACAAGGAGACTTGAGCATGTAATTCGCATAGGTCTTCTTAGTGGATTAGTGTAACCGGTGGTCAAAGACATCGAGTGATAGGTAGCTCGGCTGTCCGGTGCACTGCCACACCTGACCTAGGGTGGTCCCGTTTGTTTTATTACTCCAAGTTCCGGGACTTGGGTTGCCGGTTTCCATCCCTGAACAGCTGGTTATCTTCACACGAACAAGTATGTGATGAGAAAATGGCAGTGCTCATGCATGTACTCATTAGTTTAGCACACTTAGTCCGCATTAATCCTCTATTTTGTTTCTGACTCTACTCCACACATTTGAATCTCCCAAATGGACAGTCTATTAACAGTGAGCAAAACGGATGTATGGTAATGGTTGTGAAAATTAAACTAAGTTAAACTGAGGCTTGGCATCAGGGTATGGCAAACCTGAAAAAGTTTCTCGGTCTCATTTTTCCCGTTGGGTTTCCTGAATGGAGACCCGGAGATCATGGTAAGTGGCGGTTNAAACACAGTGATATGCCTGAATGTCGTAAACAATGTCTCTCGTGCATCTCATTATTTTTGCAACGTTTACGAATTTTCTCGTTTCCTTTTTGTCTTTACTCTCAACATACCAATCTTTCCTCTGCTCTTTATCCAAATCTGCCGCCAAAAGACGGCAACCAACAAGGATATGTGAAAATGCATGGGTAACGGTTATAAAGACTAAAACGGAACCTCAAATGAACTGTCCGATACTCCTATTTGCTTTGTATTTTTTCTGCCGTGAAGCTAGCCAGCAGTCATCACTGTCCAGTGGAGGTGCAACTTCATTAATTACTTCGGTGTCTGTCAGTCCCTATGAAAACCATAAGTTTACTGATCACTGCATCAAGTTTCTTTGTTCACTGAATGACGCTGCATTGTTTCACCATTTCTCCTCCAGGATGCCCACCATGATCCGGCAGCAGCTAATCTGGCTTTCTGGCGTTCGGCCTCCTTCCTGTTGGCCGCAACGTTGGAGACAGCGTTCCGCTTTGAGCACGCGGTTCACTTGTTATGTAACTGGCACACAGTACCTGAACAAGGCTCGGTCGTTTGCGATATCGCATTCACTCCTTCGGTTTCAAAGAGACCCCATCAAAAGTCCCACACTCTGTGGATTCCTTCGAGGCGTGAATTGGACGCATTATCGGCTCACGGTCAGCGTTTGGCTTCCCTGATGGCCGACTTCGTTCCACTTCAGGACGCCGGTAACGATCAACTGTTTGACGCCTGCTTTGCAGACCGATCTTTGCGCTTTGATCGACTGCGGTCAGAATTTGGTGCAGATGACCACACTCCTGTCACAACGTTTTATCGTATGGGGAGTTTTGTCGAGGTAAGCTAACCTCCAGTCATAAATTAAATTTTGCAATTAAATTAATACTTAGTTGCAGGCTGCGTTCAAATATGACGGATGTTTCCAGTGATGAATTGACATCTCACGCAGTCGCGATCAATTTGAACTTGGTAGTGTAGTATGTCTCCCTAGTTATTGTTTTTCGTAATAAACTGAGAGACTGTCTTTGAAGAAAGCGTCCAAACAAGCATGAATCGGTAGTCGGCGTGAGCCTAATTATGACACGTCTTTCATACGATGGAATCAGAGTTTAAACCCTGGACGAGCCGCCAATGAGCTCCAAAAGGGATCGAATTCGGATTTGTTGTTTCCGACTTTACAATTTATTGTATTTCTGTATTTTCTCCAGGCAGCCTTTGCATAGCTACAACCCCCTTCCTGAAATTTGATTGTACACTTGTATATTCAATAAATAAATAGAAAGAATGTAAAAATACAAAAAAAACAGGACAAGTATAAGCTAAGGATTGTGGGAGAAGGTATGATCTGAAGGATGATCAATTGGAATCGCTCATCACTATCGAACAGCTTCCAGTGGAAGGCAATTTAATGTAAACAATTTATTTGTCCCACATATGTTTTCACTGCTCCCTCTGTATGAAGTATACATTCATCCTGCAGGCGGAGAGAGATTTCCTTTACAGTGCTACCTTTAAGGGGAAATCAGAAGTAGTCATGTTAATGCAAAATACTGGGCACTTTCATACATGTCCATCAATATCAATGACCTCGCAATATCTTATTCTCCAACCCATGGATCCTACTACGTACGATCAATCAACCTAGACGTACTGCTTAAAAGCTGCACATTTGAAGATTACATTGGCTAATTAATCGATTGTGATTAGTGCTTTCAATTGTCAAAATAGTCCCACAGCACATTTCAAACCATAAAACAAATTGGCGAACAAGCTCACTTTCAGAGATTCGTATTCATGCCAGTACATCTAAATTTAAATCGCTACTTGGGAACAAAATTGTCTTGGGGAAATCAAATCAAATCATACCACAGACTACTAGAAACGATTTCATCACGAGACCAGCAGTCGGGTTCACCACGATCTTATAGTTGTTTGCCCACTCATCCGATCATTTAGGTTATTTGTGATAAGGTGACTGTTTGTGTGTGGGGG